ATTTCATCCCGTACGTCACCACTCTGTTTGTAAAAGGAATGCAGCTAACTTCATCATGTCGCTTTTTGGCTGTCGGTGTGCGCGCGCATCGTAAAAATTTTACTCTCATATTTCCAAAACGCGCCAATAGAAGTATAACTTCAAAAAATGTATGTGGCGTATAATCTCTGGAAGTACTAAAAAGGCTGACTTTAAAAAGTAGGTACATATATGTTTGGATGGATAGTACATAAATGTATGGATATAAATCGCAGGTTTAATATTGAGGAGTGATCTCATACATGTTCCATGGTTATTATCAACGATCATAAAGGTAGTAAGTTTGATAACCGTATGAAGTAAATGATTTGCGTTATATAGTAAGCTAGCTACTCACCCTCGCCTCGCTCGGGTCCAAGTACGTTTTGGCGGTTGGATGATTTCTGTGATGAGATGTTTTCAAGCAGTAAAAATTATCCTATATGTTGACCCTGATAACGAACTACTATCATACCAAATTTCATCAACATCTGTCCAATAGTTTTCTCATGATGTGTTCCCAGACAGACAGACAGAAAAACATTCTAAAAACTGGAAATTTGGCCTCTGTATATCTATATTAAATATTTAAGTATTTAATGTACAGATTCGAATGTGAATTTTATTATATGTGCAGATATTTCATTTCTCAACCAATTTGCTTCGTGTTTTGTACTCAAATGGTATGCGAATATGTTATATTAATAAATATAATAATATTTTATTTATTAACTTATTCTAGTTTTACACTTTTTTGTATGCAATATAAGCAACAAAATATCTGAATTATAAATAAATACAGGGCGCTCATATCTAAATTGCTCCCCGTATGGTCAAATAGGGAAGCGGAAATAGAGCAACGTGTCATTACGTTCTCTATCTATATACATGAGTGCAAACGGATTCTACATTTTTTCTACATAAATCTTTTTAAAGGTAGGTTATTATTTTATATCACATTCATATTTGTATTCTATACATATTCATACAAATATTATAAATGTAAAAGTGTGTTTGTTTATTTGTTTGTTTGTTTGTTTGTTTGTTTATCCTTCTTTCACGAAGAGACGGTGACGGATTGGCGTGATATTTTGTGTGAAGATAGTTGGAGAGCTGGAGAGTGACATAGGCTACTTTTACCGCGGGATATTATCTAATTCCCACGGGAAAACACGTTATAATATGTATGATCAATCCAAAAAAATATGTATGATCAGAATTACTTGAAACTTGGTATTAATGCTCTTCAATAAAATTAAATAAATACGTGTTTTAGCATTTTTTAAAATTCATCCTATAAGGGGGTAAAATATGGGATGAAAGTTTTGATGAAACTACCTTTTTAGGATTTTTTGTAGTTTTAGAGCGAGCGAAGCCGCGGGTTTTGCTAGTGTATTATAAAATTCTAACTAAGTCGATTCTGTCATTAAATATTTTTTGGAAAATCTTATTGAAATAGTTTTTATTATCGATAAAGAGGCCGAATCCATAGTTTTTAGAATTTTTGTCTGTCTATCTGTGATCGCGGCACGAGAAAAGCACTGGACAGATTTTGTTCAAATTTGGCATTATGATAGCTGGTTATTGGGGTCAACGTATAGGGTACTGTTTATTGCGAGAAAATATATCATCTCTGAAAAATCTATACTAAACGTTAAAACGTAACTACGGACGAACCGGAGCGAAGGTGAGTCGCTAGTTGATGAATAAATATACATAAGTTATTTGTATCTACTATCCCTTATTTTATATACTACTAAATATAATATTTCAAGAAGTTCATACGAGACTCTTATTAAATAATCGAATAATAAAAAGCAATATTTAAGTTAAATCTAAAAATAATCGCTTCCACAATATATTTTTTAAAGAAATAATTGTTAAATGAATATATTGTAATGTTTAATTACTAAGTATATAAACAACACACGTATTTTTGCTTTGCGAAAAGTAAAGAATAGTGTGTGGATTCATAATATGGATTTCAGTGAGATCTGCCTGCACCCTATTTTGCGAGAAGCTCCCCGCCCTTATTAGAGTATAAACGTCTGTATAACGAAAAACCAACCCTAACCCGGTAGTTATAAGGTTGAAAAAGACTTGCAATAATAATATTCATTCGTTTCTCTATAATACTGCCAAATATGATCGAAACTGTTATGATAATATAAGTCTTAAGGTATATTTACGTTAAGGCAAGTAATAACAAAGTATTATTTAGCATTTAAAGACTAACAACGGGTTAAATTATGTTGAAAGTTATAATATACATATTTCATTAAATAATATGAATATTAAAAAAATACAGTATGCAAGTATTGAATATATTGACTGTAAGTGTAATACAGTTTAAACTAACACGAACTGCGTGAGAATCTATTTATAATTCGCAGTTCAATTCCAAACATCTTAAACGGAGATTCTAAAACAGCTTGTTTATTTTCCTGAAAGCTATTGTATCTTTACAAATAGTGCAATGAGAATGCAATATGGTTTTAATTTTAAAATACAATAAGGATAATATATATACATATATTTAAAAATACAAAATGGCTAGTACTTCCATTAAAATAATTTTAATAAGAAAATTATAACTCGTTTGTTTATATAAATACGATTCTACAGATGTTATAGTAAGATATACGCGAACTTCTACTTTATAAATTACATCGTATATTTCACGCCACCCTGCTCGAAACAACTTCACTAATTCGGGCAAAACCGCAGATCCTAAGTAAAGCCGTGATTCAATAATATAGTTATTCAATGCAGTAACAATTACGAATATTATTATTATGTATATTAAATGTTTTTAATTTATCTATTCGTTGACTTGAAAAAATCTGTAGGTTGTCTAAATACATTATCTTTAAAAAAATGTGGTAAAAATATGTATGTCTGTCTGTTTGTCATTGATGTTGCACATAAATTGGGATGTAGCTTTTGTATCAAATAATAATTAATAGAAAAAAAATTAAGTTATTATTATTTCAATAGGTCAAAGGTTTGCAAAAATGCTACTTGAGCAACCATTTTCGTTCCTATGGAAACTAAGAGAAATGTATAGTACAGTAGATAAAGTGAGTAATATTCTTAGATCAAACGAAGAAAAGTTACTATCGTTTTTCTGATAAGTTATACATTTTCCCTTTTAAGTTGAAATTAGGTTAACTGGGTGGCACACAACGTCACGCTTTTCTTTTAACTGTGTTTAGTCGCAAATATCGATAAGTATACTATATAAATGTATGTTTTTATATTGATTTGAATTCAGAACCTTCTGGGTTGTAGACGAAGCTAACTAAATACGACCACTGCACCTAATCAATCAATTATTACAAAATTTTCAAAATTAAATGTAAATACATTTTCTATTAATCTTAACCTGCATCCTAATCATATCTATTATTTAATATGCACGAATATTTATATTACGATGAGATTTAAAAGTAAAAATATATTATACTAAAAGTAATAAGAACAACATAAACTAAATAATCTTTTTGTAAAAACTAGCTTTTCAATCAAAAAGTTATATTTCATTAATTATTATTATTAATTTAAAATTTAAGCCATATGAGCTGCTGTCATAAAATAACCGCTGTCTAAATTATGAGATTTTAGTAGACGTATCAAATTAATAGAATATTATCACCTCTACTGTGCAGTACATAAGAGCTATAATCGAATCCCTTCATCAATAAGTAAATGTTCAATCTTCGTACTTCAAAAGCGACCACGTCATTAATGGATAATTACTTTAATACGTCAATTCTTAACAAAATCGAGATTTATTTTTCTTTATACTAATTTTTTTATAAAGAATACAAGTCAACATAACGTTAATATGTACTTATACGGTATAAATACTAATTTACTTATAGTAAACAAGTATATGTAAGTACGTACATATATAGGTTCGAAATCGTGTCAATCTTTACATGAAAAATATTTATTTTGTATTGCCATGAGGCTTTTACAGTTGGATAGCTCGGGCTTCCGGTAACACGTATGCGTTCTTTACTCGCATAAAGAGTCAGTTGAAGCGGATTAGGCCGCAGGCGAGCATTACTTCAGCACTAAAGTCATTATACGTGCAAGATTGTGTATTAATTGCAAGGGAAAGTTTTGTATCTAACACTAATTTCTTTGTCCGCACCATCGCATACCAATTGGTTACGTCATGGGCGTCACGAATACCCCCCACCCCTCCCTCGAGCTCCATATTATCAATCATTTGTACTTATTATTAAAACATTTTTCTTATTTTTTAAAACCCTTACATTATCAGAACTAATGATTGAATACCAGTTTTACTACTACATATTCCCAACAATAAGTGTGTTATTATAAAACGCAATAAGATTCATTTTCATTTAAACTTCAAGTAGTCGTTTGAATCTATTCATTATTTACATAACAATAAAAAGTTCAAATGGCGACTAAAGATTCAAACTATCACGTATGAGTTTATTTTATTTTGTATGTCAATTTGTCTTTAACTATATTCGAGTTTCTGTATGTTTTTGTTTTTACTTGAATGTGCCTAGTACATAAAATAAATACTTTGCATCATTAGCGAAGTTAAAATTCATTCAAAATACCGCTTTCAAAGTAAATTATTACGAGCTCTACTTTACTCGTAATTATAAACGTCAGAGTTGATGCGATATCAATAAGTGCCAGATGCCTTTCCTAAACCTGTTTCGGCCCTTTTTATCAACCTTTATTCATATTTACTAATTGCTCATTTAAGAGTCACCGAATAGCTCTACCTAATTCAAAGTAGAGTATAAAAAGTTACCTGCTAATTAAACAAAGAGCTCGATCGGTGACAATATACACAAACATGCACTAACACATGGATACAGCAGCGGGAAAAGAGTCAGTAGCGGGACGCGAGTGTCAGCGTCGCACGTCTGCCCGCGGGCGGCTATCGACAGAGACTGCGTCGCCGGGTGTACCCCTGTATGTAGAGACTAGCGGACCGCCTTGCTCTGGGCGCACTGTACAGGCACGAGCGTTCGAACAGCTGATATTGCGCACACCTGTGCACTATCAGCCGGTACTCTCTCTCTCGCACCGCACACCGTCGCCGGCGCATTCTCTCTCAAATCGCTGTGACGTCGAATGAACTCCGTGTGAACAGTTGTAGAGCTCGGGATGCCAGCTCGAACACATGACCCGTCGTTTAAGTGAGAGTAATAAGGCATGATACTTCACTTTTATGACAGGTCATTATTTAAAACATGTCAATACGATTATTATAATAATATTTAATTAGTCTAAATGAAACTAGATAAAATATGTAGAGTTTTAATAGGGGGGGAATTTTCATTAAAACGTAGAATACTTATTTCTTGCTCGTTAGCAATACTTAATTACATAACTATTGTTACTTGCTTACTTGAGTTACGAGCTATAAATACCGTTTGATATTTAATATATTCTCATTGAATTGTGTTCTATTTACTGTCATTCACCTCGTTGCTAATAATCTACTGTTTTATATATTTGAGAAAATTTTGATGAGCACTTGTTTTCCGTCAAATATGTCAATTGTAATACACTCACTCAGTGGTTCACTATAATAATTATACTAATACCACAGATCATATAAAATATAAATGTGAAATTTAGTAACTCAATAGTTTTTGTTATATCTGCACACTGTAACGGCCCAATGAACTTAAAAAAAATCTGAAAAAAATATATTAAATATTCGCAGCCACGGGCTAAGACTAGTACAGTTACATGTTTTTAGTTTACTGCAAAAAGCTACTTATATTCAACGGAATTTTCGTACGCCTGGTTACGAGGTAGCTCTCATTATCATCCTCAATAAGAAATGCGAAGGATAAACAAAAAAAAACTAACAAACACACTTTCGTATAGGAAGTACTACTATCACTACATATTATAAACAAAGTCCTCCACCGCGTTTGTTCGCGATAAACTCAAAAACTACTGCACCGATTTTCATGTTCTTTCCACCAATGCATAGAATGGTTTTCCAGGAAGTTTTTGTATAGATTGGCTAAAATATAACGATATTTGTTAGAGGTGTTGGAAAAAAATAAGTCGTCTGGGAGCTTTCAACGAAAACGCTGCCTAAACCATTTGAGATATAACAAAATAATGTATGGTGGATTTATGTATCTTATATAGATCTACAGAAAAGTCCGCGTTGGCATATATCTATCTCTTAAGGATAACATACTATATCCATTTTAATTTAAATTGTACCTAGAGATGAACCCGAGAGAAGAGAGAATGAGTCGCTAGTTAGTAATAAAATAAAATATTCACATTCAAAAACTAAATAAGTACTATTACTTATTTAGTTTTTGAATGTGACTATTTTATTTTCAACTTTCGCATCTAAACTGGTTATCGTTTAAATGAATTCCGAAACAGCTGATTGGACATGCTCTACAAAACGAAAACATCAAGATATTTATGCTTAGGGAGTACAATGGCGAATACACAATGTCACCATAGGTTTCTTTCTTACATTTTTTTTTATTCATTCTAAATCAATGTCCATTGGGGAGCAAAGCAATTTATAAAAAGGCGTTCTGCCCTCACAAATTTGAAAAAACTTAAAGCAAATTTTAAAAAAAAGCATTATTGTGCTATAGATAAAACAGAATATGTATATGTATTACTAAAACTAAATATATTTTCGATAACCATTAGAAATCCATATCATCGTTTTATTTACGTTTTTTATTAGTTTTAAAAAAATTAATGATGTGTCTTAAATAAATACTTTCTACTAATAAATATTTTCTTTTTTTATTGTATTTTTATATTGTATTGTATCTTAAATATTTCCTATTAAACATTACAATATTTAACATTTTTTAAGTGTTGTGATTATTGAAAATGTCAGTATTATTAGAAATTTGTAAAACACTAATTTTCTGAAAATAAAGAATTATTGCTGTCGGTAAATATACATTCATTAATCGCGCAGGTAGAATCAGTTCGTAAACAGCTGATCATTGAATAATAATTTTACAAAATGACAGGATAATGTGCACAAGGTGGCGGCGAGTGGATGCATATAACATACACTGTTGTATAAGTATCTATAGGATTTATTAACAGAAAAGTTCCTATATTAAAATTTATTGAAATTTTAATATAGGAACCTATTATTCTAATATTATATCTAACATACTAGAAATTCAGTTGATGTTCAGCAAGAAAATATCATTAAAATATGATGCTCATGTGTGCTAGTTTAACAAACAAATGTAAAGCGATTGTTTAATATACTGGATTACTCTGAAGTCTGACCATTTATAAAATGGACAATTCATAGGATATGTTAATTTGCAAAAATATCTTATAACAGTATCTTAACTAAGCATTTTTATAATATTTATAAGTTAAATATAACCAAGTATTGTAAAGATATTTTGCATCCCGAAAATATGTTGAATTTATTATGTAGGTACATAATACAATCATATGACAGTGTACAAGAGCTATGCAATATAACAAGTAAGACTCCAAAGCGGAAGGACGAACGTAGAACTGTATATATTTGGCCCCTAACACGTTGGTATCCACGGTTGACCGCGATTACAACACTTTCACAATACGCCTGGCGACATTCCACTTCAATTCTTTAATCAAAAGTGCTGTTAGGTGTTAGTACACTATTATATCTGGGTTAAAAAGATGCGATGAATTGCTTGATGTTATTTGACCTTTCTTCTTTATATATTGCTGCTTCTATGTGCTTTTAATTTTTATTTGAGGTCTAATAACTCTCCTTTAAACCTCAAATGAATATATGTGAAGGTAAACAATTATTCACTTGTAGGTACGATTTTAAATATTTGTTTGTTAGAAAGTAGTTGTTATTATAAAAATTAAACAAAAAACTTGAATTTTACGACTTTATAATTTGCCAGTAATCAAAAAAGATTTTTAAAATTTTCTTTGAAATTTAAAGTATTTTCGTGAACATTGTATTTATTTTAATTCAAGACTATACCAGAGAAACAGACGACATCCATATTTAAAAATATGGAGTTAAATATCAATAATGATATCTCATCTATGATCAGTCGAGAAATTCTTTCCGTGTAAATGAGCCTTAACTCTACTTTTCGACAGTAGTTACATCCAGACTTACCTACTGATGCATTCCGCTGTCATCTCTATTAAGAAGGATAAAAAACCTACGTATATAAAATTCATATGTTGTGTATGTATAAGTAAAGTAATAAATAAATAATCAATGAAACTAAGATAATTATATTTTTACCCTACCTTGTAATATATGTACGTACATATAAAGCCCCGCTAATACAATTGGCTTATGACGTTATAATCTCTACTTCCACTCGGTCATTTAACATAAATGCACGTGTAAATTATTAAAGCAAAATATTATAAATACTTACCCCTTATAAATACATACATGTATGGATATAAAATGGCGAGTCTTCACTAACTGACAGATTTATCAGCACCCTATCAAGTCTATGGATCAAGGGATGGCAAAGATAATATAAAAAATGATGTTTTTCTGACCAACTTTATTTAAAACTAGCGACCCGCCTTCGCTTCGCTCGGGTTCGTCTCTAGATACCTTATAAGGGTTAGTATGGAATAGATAGACTAATACACAGGTATAGAAAGGTAAGTTAGTACTTTAAAAAACTTGAAATTATCCGCCATTTTCAACCGACTTCAAAAAGGAGGAGGTTCTCAATTCGACTGTATTTTTTATGTTTGTTACCTCAGAACTCCGTCATTTATTAACCGTTTTGGACAATTTTTGTTTTGTTTGAAAGGGTATACTTCCAGATTGGTCCCATTTAAATTTCAAAAAAAATACCACCCCTAAGGGTGGAAAAACAACTAATGATGAATTTAACCTACTTCTAATTGTCATATTGACTTGAAACTTTGCAAGTATTTTTATTTCCGTTGATAGTACAGTGGTTAGGTGTTGTTGACCTGATCTGATGGCAAGGCCAGAATGTGGATAGGTGGAACTCTTCAACGGCTAATAGTAGATACTTTGAGTTTGGGCTTATTTTGTTTGATTTGACAAGCCTAACACGTTAGAATCCTTACTTTGCTACTACACTAAAAAGGCAAAAATAAAAACTTTTTAACAAAAAAATAAAAACCGACTTCAAACAAAAGCACTAAAAAGTAAAAAATAACTGATTGGTAGATTTCATTTACTATACATACCTAATCAAATATTTTCGAAGTCGGTGTGCTTTGGCTAAGTAATTAAAGCCTACCTATTAAATACGTCATACCTAATCAAATATTTTCGAAATCGGTGCCAGCCCATACAAAGCAAAGCACACCGACTTCGAAAATATTTGATTAGGTATGTATAGTAAATGAAAACTACCAATCAGTTATTTTTTACTTTTTAGTGCTTTTGTTTGAAGTCGGTTTTTATAGCTTAATTAGTCATAAACATCGAAATATTCTTTATATCTTATCAAAATTATAGGATATAATGATTTTTTTTACCTTAACTTGAGCAATGATTTATTCCCAATTCAAACTATCAACCTCTCTTTTTTTTTTTTTTTAACGTTGGGAAATGCATTTACGCAAGACGTGTGGGACTCACCGGCGTAATACAGCCAGTACTACCCACTAAAACCCAACAAAACCTTCCCCCGTCTTAATGGGGCGTCGCAGGATCGCTTATGCATTCAACTACGACGCCCCGACGGCAGGTCTGCCGAAGCAGACCACCACAACCATGGGGTTGCTCCACAGTCCACTCTGCTATCAGAGAAGTACCAGGAGCAACCCGCATGGTACACCACCCCCCGAAGAGGGCCACCTCCCACCGCCCACCGAAGTGGGCAACCTCCCTGTGCGTTTCTTAGCTTCGCGCCCGGTTGGATTGCCGGGCACTACTGAGCCCCCCCACCACGACAAGGTGAACGCACGTTGGGGGGGAAACTATCAACCCCTAATTCAAATCTTGTTTTTGCGACAAAAAGTATCCTATATGTAATCTCTATACAAAAATCAAAATTGGTTCAGCGGCTTAAGCGTGAAAACGTAATACACAGACAGAAAGATCTTCTTTCGCATTTATAATATTAACTTAAGTTACTTTAGTTAAGTGCTGACCAATAAGGCACCTTTTTATCATAGTTGCGTTCATAATTATAAAGTAGTAAATTAAAAAAATGTGATTAATACGTTT